CCACATCCTAATAAAAGAGTTATTTATGGTTACGTAATACAGATAAAATAAATGACAGCATGACCACGCAAATTAAATTGCTGCATTCATCACTGATTTGCAACGTCATCTCGCGTCAGTGAAAAACGAATGACAAATTGTTTTTCTCTCATATTTGTTGTGCTTCTATTTGATACCACAACACAGGACGAGGCAGTAGTGAGAAAGCCAGTGATGCTGTCAGTTGGGTGGTTGAGCAGCAGGGAAAGTGGGCGGCAGAATCAATCTCTGTCCAGCTTTTGGGGGGGAGCAGAGAATAAATAAGTGGACTCCCTCCAGTCAGTCAGCCATTGTTGCAGTTCAGCCTTTCGTTGGTCCTGTCATCAGACACTGAATAAGCTGGTCTGCGTGTTCCAGGGCCCGGTGATGTTGGGATGGTAACTCGGGTTTGTTTTGAACGGGGTAACCTCGGAGACTGCCATCGCTAAGCTCCATTGAGAGATCTCTTCATTACCCCTTGAGATGCGTGTGCTGAATGGCTGATCTCCCCTAGTGAGAACACCGCCTGCTGAAATAGAGAGTTAAAGCTTTCCAGCCCTCCGCTCGGCTGGTCGGGCGTTACGAGGTCGTAGACAGCTGTGTCGATGCATAAACACGGTTTCTTGTTGAATACGAAGCAGCAAGAATCAGTGTTTCTCTTTATGCACGTGGCAGATTTATTGATTCTGGTACTGAGTCAACATAATAGAGCGAGCCTATTTTTTTGGCGTTTATTTCAGCTGCCAGTGTTTAAATACTCCTGCTGTGTTAGAACAGCCATGTGATGGGTAAGACTGATTTAGGATGTGTGTTTGCACTGTCGCACTGAAATTATTCTAATTATAATAATCTTCATCAATTAACCTAAATGCCGTGGCCCAGGGTTTCCCAGAATAACACTGCATTGTAACAAGATGATCACTGTTATTAATTTAGCATATCAGAATCAGAAATAATGTATTGATCCCCGAGGGGAAGTTGCTTAACATAATATCATGGTTTTAGTATTGTGGCTGATTGGTGTATAAGTTATAATGATCTCAACTGCATTTTAGATATATTTGAGCTGCAGTTTTCATAAACAAAGACACTGCTTGTGTACAAAAATTAGCTCTGTTTAGTCATCAAGACACACGAATATGAATCTAGCATCTCAATGTCATATCATATGGCTTCACTGGCTGACATCATTCAACACGCTGATGTCTATAAAGCCATTTTTAGTGGTTTCTTTAGATGTTAAAGGGGCTACCTTAGTTTTATCCTTTCTCTATCTGCTAACGCTAATAATACCATCCACAACAGTTACTCCCCAACCAAAAATTTTTAACTTAATTTCTTTTTCATCGAAACTATCCTTATTGTTGGCTTGCACGTTGTTTATGTGAGTCGGCGGTTGTGAGCTGCTTGATTGACTTCGTGATGAGCGTCTGTCAGCACCAGCCAACCACAAAACTCTGGTTGTTGATTGGCAGGTCATGTCTGTTGTCAGCTTACGTTTCTGTTTAAGATCGAGCCGCCTGCTTTTTAATCTTTAATGTACAGAACTCTCACTGTTGGCTTCACATTCATTCTGCTACGCTGCCTAAATGCATTTTTTACATTCATCTGCCTTAATGTGCTCCACATCAACACCTAAACGCAGCTTTTGCATTGTATCCAAAAACCCTGCATTTGTTTAATCTCTTATCAGATTTTTGTCTCCGTGAACTAACAAATGCTTTGACTGTGGCTCTGAGTTGTCCAGACCCTAACTGTTTCTCTCTCTATGATATCTGTGGTTTCACTATTTGTCCTTTTCATGTGCACCACAAACAAAACACATGTTGTGACTGTATTTTTTTTTCCTTTTGGCGCAAAGAAGCAAGTCTTACATTTTTCCTGCCCTGCTCATGAATTAGCCCGCAGAAAATAATTTCATATCTTGTCATGCGTGAGTCACAGGAGGGCCTGCTGCTACACTGTGTACCCAGTCGGTGTCGAAACACTAATGCCAATATTTAGACTTGTTCTTTCAGAGCCGTGCACTGCTAGTAACATTGCAAGGATAATAATGGCTCCTGCACAAACATATATACATTACATAAACACACACAGTATTAACAACTAGATCCTTTGCTTCTTTTTTCTTTCAACTCAAGTGATTCATGAGCCGTGGAATGGCGTGACAGGAATGCGCTGATCACTCAGTACTCCGCTGCCTGTCTCACCAGCTCTACTGAGTAAATAACTGTAGGGAGGGAGGGACAACGGACTGCTGAATGAATACAAGGACAGAAAGATGAATGAATGAGAGAATGAATGAATGACACAAGTCCAATAACGCGACTGTCTTGCCATAAGTAGATGCAAATCGTATTTGTCGCAAGCCACTGCGCTTTAATACGGTGCGGCCAGTCAAAAAATAAAGCCACAACAGTTCGAGTAAACACAAAAGAACACCCATTCAGATTTTTTTAAGCCAGTTTGTATTGGCCAATAAATGATTTGAGCCTTGCCTGCAGGTTCGAGGGTTTACTCAGGGGTTTAGTGCAGAGAGAGAGATTGTAGAAAGGCTTTGGCACACTATCCCAAAATGAAGGTATAAAAACAGATGGAGATTAAAGTAAAGATACTGCAAAGTCTGGTTCTTCTTGCAGTTACACTGATTTTCTTGCTTGCTAACATGTAAGCCAATAAATCAGAGTCGTTTCAACTACTGGCTGATGCTGCCATCTGGTAGTTTGTCTGAAAATGTCGGTCTTGAATAACGTAATTTTTTTTTTTTTTTTTTTTTAAGTTTTTATTTAAAGTGAGAATATGTAACTTTTAAAAGAAGGTATGACTCAATTTTATTTAGCAAATTCATAAACCATAAAATGTACCTTTGCTCGACTGAATACACTTCTACGTTAAGTCAATTATGAGTCTTAAACGATTAATTTAGCTAAAATACTCTGTAAAGCTGAGTTTAGGTACACCAGCTAGTAATTTAGGTGCATTCAAAAGTTTTCACTGTGCCCTTTGGCGCTGGATAATTATAGATCATAAGCGTATTATTTTTTTGTCAGTTTCCATACTTATTGGTAAATTCTAATCGCACGTGTAAATGATTCTAAACAGGAATAAAGCAGCAGATTAACTGTTCTGTTCTTGGACATAAGCTTAGTAAAAGATAGCACTTCCTTGTCTCCATCATAAGCAGGCTTCACATTTATTATCATATCTGACTCCTCGCTGCTTTGGTTTGTCACTGCTTGGTGCTGACCTGCTCTGCCAACCACACACCTGTAGCAGCACAGGATGAGTTTCTGTTGTTGTTGCTTTTTATGTTTCAGTTTCAAACGTCAGTGCTTCAAAAAAGCATATTTGTCTATCTCAGTGTGTCCCTCAGGTCAAGAGTTGACCTGGGTTGGTGGGTGGCGCAGCATCACTGATGTGCATGCAGAGACTACAGATGAAAGCCTTACATGCAGTCTCCATAAGTGCAAAAATGAACCAAGGTTTCATATAAACATGCATCGGTAGACACTAGCTGCACACAGACAGGCCTCTAGTCCTCATTCAGCTTCTCCAGCACACTCAAGGCCAGTTCATGCTTTCTTAAGGGTGACAGGTTCAAACAAGTGTTTGACCAAAAACTACTTTGTAAAAAGTGAAACAAGGTGTTCTGGTGTCAGATTTACCCAGGTTGAAGCTGCAGGCCGTCCAGAGACACGCTGACGGACGTGTTAATGTCAGGTGCACTGGTGTGACCAATGAAAATGTTTCCTCGCGCTCCACAGATATTTGTGCAACCAAAACAGTTGCATTGTGGAGCTCTGATGGTCGTGTATACTCCTCTGTGGTTTGGTCACCTTTCACATTGTTAGTGTAGAAATATTGAGCTTTTAAGCAGATTTATTGTCATTTAAACTAGAATACATTTGATGTTGATGTTAAAAGGGAACAAGACATTGTGCTCTGAAGAATAGAACAGAATTCCTTCATTTCAGCGCACCATTGTGTTTCCATTTGTGTTGTTGACTTTGTCAGTCATGGTATTTTTATTATTGACAGTTCGTCTCTTGACTGAGGAAAGTCTCTGCAGCACAAATACCCTCATATTATTCCTGTAATCACAGCACTCAGGGTTGAAGTTGTGTGTTACGGGGTGGAGTTAGCAAGCCGCCTTGGGCACAAGGCACCTGTTGGGTCCACATTGTTTCTGTCTGTGGCCCGCTCTGACACATCCCTTCAGAACCATGGCTCACAGCCCAAAATATTCCCTTAACCACCAATGACGCACATACAGCCGCTGCCAACACTTAATAGAGGCTTTTCATATTTTTTACCTTTGTGTGTGTCTTTTATTTTTTACCTATACCTTTAATATGGCTTTTTTGTTTTTTTGCAGCTGCTTCTTAAGTGTTAGCTTAAGGTGTCGGTGCGTACTTGCAGCCATTGAAAGGCTCCATAAAACAACTAATGCGAGTGTTGCGTGCCTCACCCTGCTAAACAAGTCTCCCTGTGTTTGTAGAAAAGCCTTCAGGTCTCCACATTTAGACGTCAGGAGTTTCTTAACAGCCAGTATTTATAAACAATTAAGTGACCCACTTGTGTAAACAAAGCCGGTGCCATTTGTATGTAAACAGACAGTGAGGACGGATTCTTTATAATCAGCACCTGGCACAAAGTGGCTCATAAAAATGCTGGTTACGACAGGACTTTGATTGATCTGTGTTCACTCTACCTCACAAGTGGAAGGTGGTTTTAGTTATCGGTACACAGGCCACCATCTTGTAATTCAGAGAAAACTGGCAACATTTAGGTTGTTTGTTGATGCTTCCTGAGGCCAAATTGCACATCTTGTTGACAGCATGCTGGAGACAGTCTGGCCTGATGATTGGAACCACCTAGGTGTTCAGCACCGCTTTCTAATCCGCACTAGTAAAATTTAATTGCACATGCTAACAACCGACTGAATCAGCGCCTTTTCTTTAACCGTTTGTTTTATCTTTTAGGTATATGACTGCGCTGACAGACTCAGAGGAAGAAGAGCTCAGTGATGCAGAGCGGAGGGATGAGGAGCAGCCTGTGGACAAGTTATGTGTCCTCCTGGAGAGGATTGACTGTTTGCATCAGGGCAGTGAGTCTGAGAAGAGGGAGAGTCTCAGTATCCTTCTGGAGCAGAGAGAGGAGGTGTGTATACATTCAGTTTATGCATGTCTGTATCCTAATGGCTCAATACTGAACAGTGTTCCTGTACTTTTATGTTCTTCTCCAGTTCGGACAGAACTCATCGTTTCTGTGGCGGCTGACCCGAGCCTACTGTGATGTTCATGACGTCAGCGGCACTCTGGAGGAGAAGAAGACCCATGCAGAAACTGGTAATTTTCTAACCCTGATTTTATGCCTCGTTTGCTCATCATCCCAAACTGGATGTGAGATGCTGTAATATCATGAACACGACCGTTACGCTGGCCAAACCCCAAATGTCAGTGTCATCTGGAAAACCCCGATCTGTACAAGTCAGTGTGTCTGCTGCAGTGACCTCAGTCAGTGGGTTTGAGTTGTCCCACAGTGGATTGGCAGAAAACTTGTTTGATGAGCATTTGACCAAACTTAGAAATTGTCAGTAATTCCAATTTACTTTGAGTCCAACAGAATGAACTGCTGGTGTGGTTTTTATGTGTTGTGTAGTTAGCAGGAAAACAGGTCTGAAATTATACTTCTTAGGTCATCATAGCTCAGCTGTATTACACACATACATACAGGGGATGTTCATAATCACTAATTTCACTGTCGATCAAACATGAAATTAAATTTATACCGGTTGACTCGTCCAAAAGTAAGGAAATACTCAGAAAACTGTTATAATTCAGTCCCCCTCTGGTCATTAAGTCCACCTCTAAATGTTCATCTCTGTGTATCAAAGTTACATATGTAGAAGTTATATTCCTGAAAATAATTATTTAATGCCTGTAATTTATTTAGATGTAACTCTATACCGTTGCTTCCTCTAGAAGGTTCTGATCTATGACGTTTCTCTCTCCCCACCTACCCCTCCCCACTCCATGCAGCTGAAGCACACCAGCTCGCCTGCATTGTACAACTACTCTACATTATTATTACATGTTGTAATATTGGAATAATTTAGCCAAACATGTTTGAACCAGAACTAATTCTAAAGAGTAATGGTACAGAAGGCCCTTAGCCTGTAAACTGACAGCATTAGTTCTTTAGAATTGTTGCATATAAAAGCCTGCAAGTGTGAATCCGTCATCAGTGCGCTTCAGCTTTAAATGCTGAGCCGTGGCAGTGACTACATTCACTCAGAATATATCTTCGAGTATATAAAAAACAGTAAATGGGCATGTAAACGAAATAAAAAACTTAATTTTCACCAGTGAGGTCTTTTAAAGCCACTTGATGCCATTATTAACATTGTTCAACTGCCAAATCATATTAAACGCCCATATGTGCAGTTGAAACCAGAAGTTTACATACATTAAAAAGACATATAGCCTTTTTTTTTCTCACTGTCTGACATTAAATCAGGCTAAACTTGTCCTGATTTAGGTGAGTTAGGATTACCAAAATTATTTCTTTTTGCTAAACACCAGAAAAATGAGCGAGAGAATTTTTTTGAGAATTTTTTATTACTTTCTTCAAAGTCAGAAGTTTACGTCCGCTAAGATGCCTTCAAACTATTTGGGAAAGTCCAGATGATGATGTCATGACTTTGGAAACCTTTAATAGGTTAAGTGACAACATCTGAGTTAATTGGAGGCACACCTGTGGAGGTATTTTAAAGCACACCTCAAACAAACTACTTCCCTTTGTGACAACATGGAACATCTAAAGAAATCAGCCAAAATATGAGGAAGAGAATCGACCTCCACACGTCTGGTTCATCCTTGGGCACAATTTCCAGATGCCTGAAGGTTCTATGTTCATCTGTTTAAACAGTTATATACAAGTATAAACACCATGGGAATGTCCAGCCATCATAGTGCTCAGGAAGGAGACTCTGTGTCACAGAGATGAAGTGTTTTGGTGCAAAATGTGCGAATCAACCCCAGAACAAAAGCTAAAGACCTTGTGAAGATGCTGTTGGAGCTGGTAAAAGAGTCATTACCCACAGTGAAACCAGTCCTGTACCGACATGGACTGAAAGGATACTCAGAGAGGAAAATGACATTACTCCAAAAGCAAAATAAAAAAGCCAGATTACAGTTTGCAAATGCACACAGAGACAAAGACCTTAATTTCTGGAGACATGTCCTGTGGTCTGATGAAACTAAAATCTAAGTATTTAGCTTTAATGACCATCATTACATTTGGAGGAAAAAGGGGGAAGCTTGAAGCCTGAGAACAACATCCCAACTGTGAAGCACGGGGGTGGCAGCATCATGTTGTGGGGATGTTCTGCTGCAGGAGGGACTGGTGCACTTCACAGAATAGATGGAATCATGAGGAAAGAACATTATGTGGAAATATTTAAGCAACATCTCAGGACATCAGCCAGGAAATTAAAGCTTGGGCGTAAATGGGTCTTCCAAATGGACAATGACCCTAAACATAGCACCAGATTAGTTACAAAGAGGCTTCAGGACAACAAAGTCAGTGTTTTGGAGTAGACGTCACAAAGCCCTGATCTCAATCCTGTAGAACATTTGTAGGCAGAGCTGAAAAGTGTGTGGAGCAAGGAGGCCAACAAACCTGACTCAGTTCCACCAGTTCTGTCTGGAGGAATGGGCCAGAATTCCATTAAACTATCGGGAGAAGCTTGTAGGCGGAAACCCAAAATGTTTGACCCAAGTCATACAGTTTAAAGGCGACGCTACCAAATACTAAGAAATGTATGTAACCTTTTGACTTTGAAGAAATTCATAAACAATTCTCTAAAATATTATGATAATATTTAGCAAATAGAAATAATTTTGGTAATCCTGACTGACCTAAAACAGGAAAAATTTAGTCGCATTTAATGTCAGACAGTGAGAAAAAAAAGGTTATGTGTCTTTTCATACAGTGTATGTAAACTTCTGGTTTCAAATATATATCAAAAAAAAAAGTGTAGTTAATGAGAGGCTGTGTAATTAATTATTCTCAATTAATCACATTTTATCCAATAGCAATATTTGACACAATGAGCAAAGTTCTTTAATTCATATAAATATTACTTGACGACTGAATCAATGAATAGACATACGTGAAGTTAAACAACAAAAATGTTCATCTCTATTTAACTGTGCATTTTTTTTTTACTACATTCACAGATTAATGCAAACTCAAAGTGCAATTATAGCTATTTAACATTTTAAGACTTTTTGTCTTTAAACTCTTTGTGGCACAATTTGCACACAATGATGCTATTATCCAAGCTGCTATCGGAAAGTTTGCAAAAAAACAAAACAAAAAACTTTCCACCCAACAAGCCAAACAATTTAGTCTCGTCTTCCATCACTGTTTACTAAACCTTCCTGTGTGCTGGCGTCACTAACTGCTTCCTGTGCATCTTTCTCATGGCTGGCAAACGAACTTCAGGTGCATGACAAGATTCCCTCAGCCCCACTTCTTCTGCAACAGTCGCATCATTGTCATGGTTCTAAAAATATCGTGGCAATTAAGTGCAACACTGGGCTGTCACAGATGAAAACTGGCATTCCTAATGACAAATTAAATTTCTGTTCTGCCAATCAAAACCCATAGACTGTATGAAAGATGGACGTAGCTACCGTGACGTCACCCGTCACTGAGAAAATGAAGCCAGGGTTTTGCTACTTCCTGGTTGACATCTTGGATTTTTGGAGCCAGTGACGCAAAAACCGTCGGAGGGGGGCGGACCCATAGGAGCAGCGATTGGTCAGACGGATTGAGAGGCGGGCCCTCTCTGCCCGCCCACATTTACCGCCTTCTGCTCGCTTCGTCTGCATCGTCGCTGCCGACTGTCAATCAAGCCAGCCACGCCCCTTGCCCCGCAAAATGTTGACGATTTTTTAATAATTCAGTATTGATTTATTTTCAGCTTGGCCACCTGATCTCTGGATTTGACCATGAAAACTAATAAGAACAAAATCCTGAGCTGGAGGAATGCAGTATTTCCTGATCTGTGATCACTTCTTTTCCAATTCAAGTCTATGGGAGCCAGCAGCTAGCGGATGTAGGTTTTTGACACTTCCGGGTTGGCTTCATTTTTCAGGGCCGGTTGCTACGTCCATCTTTTATACAGTCTATGTCAAAACCTTGAGCTTGGTCCTTGAATGCACTGAGACACAAGTCTGCTGACAGCACATTTAAAACTTCCACAACTAACGATGAGCCAAATTCAAGTTTTGTTTGTGGGACGCTGAAGACAGAAATCTCACAACGTTACTGATGCTAGATTTATGATATCAAATAACACTATTAACTGGCATAATGTTACTGCTAAAGCATTGTCAGACTTTTATTGCATATTCACAGCAAAATTGGCATTTTAATGCTACCCTGTTTGCCCTGTCTACTGAATTACTCAACAAAAACAACACTCTGAAGACTTACTGTCGAATTCATAGTGACTAAACAGTTCTTTTCTGAGACACCTTTTACTACGCGCTTACAATAGACCACAATGCTTTTTCCGCAAACAGAGGCTGTTTTGTGATCCAGCTGAAGTTCAGACTGGATTGACCTGTTTCTCCGTAATCCTTCCTCATCAATGTGCCTCTGATCAGAGCTGGCCAGGTGCTTCCTGCAAAGACACCTGTGTCAAAGCGTTTGACAGCGTAATAGACGTGGATATTTAAAGCAACACGGCATCATATTTAACATTCATTTGGTTATTAATAGAGCAGATGGAATGAAACACTTTCCATGGAGTGATGAAGGATTTAAACCTGAGCTCTCTTCCTGGATTGCGTTTCATATAACTTCTGTTCTTATTGCTTTAATCCAGTGCCCAGTGATGTTCCTTGATTTATGTGTATCCTGTTGTGTTTTCTCAGTCAACATTCTGCTAATCCGCGCCCTCTTCTTTTGTCGTGTGAAGTATGTCCAGAGTGCAGAGTGTGTGTGTTGGATTTATGTTCCAGTGGAGGATCATGGTCTCTTCTCTATTTTTTCTTTCCTCTTAGGGAAGAAAGTTGGCGAGGAGGCGGTGAGCTTGAATCCTACATGTGCTGAAAGTCATCAGTGGTACGTTTGAGCTGTTTCTTCTGACAGCTGTCATATAAAAGTGACGTGTTTCTATTCAATAAAGTTTTCCTACACTTCAAAAAATAACATTTGGGCTTATCAAAAAAAAAACCAATTAGCAAAGCAGTTTCAACCATCTTTTTGAGTTATGGTAACTTCTAATGAAATTACTTTTATCCAACAAACTGCTGCTTTAATTAGTTTTCCTCTGCAAGCAAAAATATTGTTAGATAACACTTAATGATTGCTAGCAAGTTGATTACTTCAAAAGATTTGGTTGTTCTAAGTATTTCCACATTATTTAAAAGGATCTTTTTCATTACTTAGTTGCTATATGTATTAACGCAAGAAAAAATTAAGTTACTCTAATGTCAAGTAGGTAGAGGAGGAAACTTATAATCCTGACATCAAAAAAAAAAATCTTTCCATGCCAGTTTCTTTACGCCACCTCAACTTGAATTTATTTTTAAAAACTACAGATGCAGAAATCTGAATTTAAATTTCACACTAAGTTCAGTTGCTACAATTATCAACATAATTGTGTAACTAAACCAGTCGAAATGTTTGCAACCTAAATATGTTTTGGAAATTGATCCCTTGAATTACTTTTGAAACTGCAGTTTCAAAAACAAATCAGTCTCAGATATCTGAAGGTAAGGTTTGATGGAACGTGAGAATCACTTATAGTTGAATCCTAATCCAGTAAAATTGTTTAAGTAAATGCTATGAGACAGAATGAAAGCATAAAAGCAGGTACTTTCCCCAGATGAGAGGTGTTGGGGGGCCGGAGCTTTTGAGTGATGTGTTACCCTGGAGCAGCTGTTCCTCTGTGTTTGAATGGATGGCTGTTTGACTCAGGCATCTCTTTGAGTGCTTCAGCAAATGTAACCTGAACAAATCAAGAGGAAACTCTCAGAAAGCCCACAGGGGAAGATGACAGAGTAACTTAAATGCGCATTTCGCTTGGTTTACGCTTTGAACCAAAACAAAAAGATGTGAAATATGTTTTAAAAAGAAAGAAAGAAAAAAAAAAGAGAGAGATCTAACATTTAACAACACATTTTGTCAAATGAAAGCATATCAAAGTGTGTTTGGGCAGAGCATTGCTGCATGCTATGCAGACATGCACGTTTGTGAGGTAATAGTAGCTTACCTCCCAAACATCTTCCTTCAGATCACCCCCTCATCCACCTGATAGCATCACATCCAGCTTCAGGAATGTAAACACAACCTAGGTTAACTTGGCTTCGGTAGACTGACGGTTATACCGGAATAACTCATGTGATTAATGGTCCTCTGTTATTATTACAGTTGCTCTTCCTGTGTGTTGGTGGTTGCTTCACAGCATGAGCTGTACATATATTTTTTTACAGTAGTGCAAATTTAGTGTTTGAGGATATGTTTGGTATAAATGTAGCACCAAGTCTTTTGTTTGTATTGTATGTGCTCTTGTCACTGTTGACTGACCCAGAAATGATTTCAAAAATATTGTTCAAGACATTTTTGTTGCGTCTGTGTAGTGCTCGTGGATATTTCAGAATGGCCACTAATTCTATGTTGGAGTCCTTTGTTTACCATTCAGTTAAGGGGAATTCTGCAGTCGTAGGTCATTCCCAGGCAAATTAAAGGAAAGGAAATCAGGAGAACCTCTCTCCCCTGGTGTACCACCCCAGTTGCTCTGTGACTCAGGCAAAAATCCCCTTGCTTTTAATTAGCTGCGCAGAGTGGGCCTGATGGCATGAATCCCGTTTGTATTTGTGCAGGCCCCAATGCATTCCTCATCTGAAACACTGCTCATGTCAAAACTTGACTGTTGATCATACGTGGAATCCACGTCTAGAATAGAGATGAAGATTGTAGCAGATGCAGCTCCAAGATTAGCTCACAAATGCTGAAGTTTTTAAAAAAAACTACAAATTCTGCTCTAGTAAAATAATACAAAGCTCCATTTGTTAAGCCTTCTGTAACTCAGCTTTGGGCATTTAGCAAACATGCATACAGTAAACGGTGTGTCGTGCTTGTTTTTTGTATACAAATAGTTTCCCTATTGTAAGTTTTTGTTACAGTTAATTGCATTCCATACATTTGTGTCCTGTGTAATTGAGATCATGTGGTTACTTTCTCTATACACGCATATGAAGCTTTCTCATGGAAAACAGACCAGAGCTGCCTGCTCGAGCCAGCAGCCCTGTTTGCTCACTTCGTTAGGGAATAATTAGCATTAGCTCATGCACATACCGCAGCACTCGAGACGTCAAGTGAAATAGAAGGCCGTGTTTGTTTAGTTAATTAAGAGCAACAGCTTTAAAAAAGCTTAATGCTTAATCCCGTATCCACTAATGGAATTTGTAAGATTCTTAAACCAAGCAGAAACGCTGTCTAAGTTGAATGGACAGGGAAAAGTAGGTAAAGCCGCACTTTAAGAAAGGAGGAGGCAGGGACTGGGGACAGTGCCAGGTAGTGTTGCAAGGAAGTTTATGTCTGAGGTAACTGTTTACTTAGTGTACCGATGCCGTGAGAAAACTTGTCACCTGTTTTCCTGAATGCCGCCCAGGTCGTCAGAGTTTGGCCGATGTTGTTTAGACACGCTGCCAGTCATTTCCTGCTCAGCCACTGAAACTTCTAATGGAGGCTGTTTTACATAGCGTGAGTGAGTGAGTGGACGGCTTTTTGAATGCTTCCACTGCTGAAACCCTAATTTAAAGTGTTCAAATGGACTTCAATGAATGCTTACGACTTGTCTGGATGTGAAAGATCTGAATGATTTTTTCCTTGGATTCTAGAAAGAGCATTTACATATCTGTAAAAAATAAAAATAAAATAAAATAAAGATACTCACAAATACTCACACAAATACAAATAATACAGGCACAGCTAAATAGTGCATATTTTATAGTTACTTACCTGCTAGTTGGAGGGAATTTTACAGTTGCAATTACAATCATTTTTTGTTTTTTAGTGTATGGAAGTCACTTTTTGAGAGGTAGTTTATTCAGACATTCTAGACAGTAAGCTATGGCTTAATGCATGTTCACTGAGACATCTGTGAGTGACAGCTCAGCAGGTCGGGTGAGGAGGACAGTCTGTGCAAACCTGCTCTGTTGTATCTGCAGCTTGCATGGCAAGTCCCACAATTTTAGTGAATGCACTGTGTCTCTGCCAAAGGTACAAACGCTCTACCTGTGTGCCACCATCAATCTGTGATACTCAATACAATGCAAGACATTCAGCTTTGATACAGGAGAAAAAAATGCCCTCATACAGGCATAACATGCAAGTTATGTATTCATTTACTGTACCGAGGTGTCAGTGTGTGTGTGTGTGCATTGTCATTATTGTTCTAGTTTAATAATGTGCCAATTCAGTTAATTAGTTCTCAGATTTTCTTTCCTCTGCTGTCCACCCTTTCTACTATTTTCCCCTTGTGAGTTTTTTCTTCCTCGCTGCAGCTTAGTTACTGTAACTTACTTTCACTTTACCGTCATTCATTTGATAAGCATCGCCACAAGTAGCCATGAAGTAGTCGCTCCAGTGAGTCAGATTGTCACGGGAATCTGTTTAGAGTTCTTGCATGTCCTCATAAAAAGTGATGTATCACAAGAGGAGAGAATAAGATATATTGCTTTACCAATACTTCGTCCCATCCCTAGTCACAGGTGGTCGGATTAGACAGCTGAAAGGCAGAAACAGGTTGGGCCTCGTTTGCAGGTCTTCTTAAGAACCTTCCTTCAGGGGCTCCACTCATGAACCTTAATTACTCCGTTGAGGACACCCACGGGTGCATAGTTGTTGCTGTTATACTGCTTCTAGTCCGCAGGAGACCACTTGGAGGACTGTGCTGCGTACATGTGCAGCGGGTTGTTTCTACATACTCGGCACATGTTGAAGAAATTCTACCCATAGTCCTCATGTGAAGTTTGCTGTAGTGGGGTGTTTATTCCGATATACGGTGGGCGTATCGACACAGATCATGAGTCTGTGATGGTAAACCGACCCAAAGCATTTGCTGTGTTACACCTTTTGTAGGGTATGTCAGAGGGTAGGGAGGGCCTGTATGTAAATACCGTAGTGAATAGTGGTTAGTTAGAACACAGTTGCTAATTAATGGAAGGAGGTAGGAGAACACATGACAAAAGGTGGTGGAATCGGGGGTCTGTGACAGGAGGTAGGAGAACACATGACAAGAGGTGATGGAATCAAAGGCTCTGGTGACCATCAAAAGCAAAGAGAATGTCTTTCTTCATCACACACTCCTGCCCTTGTAGTGTGTGGCTGCATTTTGGGTTGTGCACGGACATTCACATGTGATGGCTGAAGTGACTCTCAGATGTTCAGTGTTCACCACAGACTGGCCTCATATTATCAGCCAATATCAATATTCACACTGATATTTTCATATTAGTATAAACATACAGCTACCAGGACATACAGTATGCTGGTTACCTAAGTTAAAAGTAATAGAAGTTAATGAATCCTTATTGATACTGGCCTTAAGTGGAAAAACCTCAAAGCTCTTTCTTTGGGTTTGTTCTTATTATGCCATGATGATGCCTGTCATGAAAGATCATCCGTCTGATTTCTTAGAACGCTGCCTTATACAAAATAACTAGGGATGCATGATATATCGGCGACCACATCGGTATCAGCCGATATTTGTCTTTTTTCCAACATATCGGTATCGGTCTGATGAACAAACTTAGCCGATGTGAGAAACCAATGATTGTCTAACATCAGCGCCTTCATCTCTACATTTGGTATTGCTGCTATTTCACAGATGTTTTAATTAAATGGTTCTGGACTTGAACGTTAAACATGTTAAAATATGTTTTACTTTTGTTACGTAATAAAGAAGACTATGTGGTGTAATTTGGTTTATTCTGGGCTTCTTTTGAATAGTTCTCACAATGCTACTTATACTCATTTTACGGTGTGAGCAAAAATTGAATATCGACATCAGTAATATCGATTATCAGAAATCTTAATATCGGATACCGATATCG